ATTCTGACTGGGGTGAGATGATATCTCATAGTTGTTTTGATTAGCATCTCTCTTAGAGCTGGGGGATTTGAACATTTCTTCATATTCTTGTTAGCCATCTGAATGTCTTCTTCAGTGAAGTGTCTGTTCATATCCTGTGCCCATTTTTCTATTGGATTATTTACCTTTATCTTGTTGTGGTGCTCAAGTATTTTATTTGGACATAAGTCCCTTATCTGATATGTCATTACCAAATACTTTCTCCCAGTCAGTGGCTTCCCTTTTTACCCTGTTGAAGAAGTTTTGGGATGTGCATAGGGATTTGATTCTTAGAAGATCCTATTCATCTATTTTATCTTCTCCTGGTTGTTCTCCTCTCCTTTATTATCATTTGGGTTGTGTGTGTGTGTGTGTGTGTGTTTAAGATGGTATAATTTTTTTTTTTTAAGAATTTTTGGGCCTCTTGTTTTGAAATTCTGTCCAGGGCATACTTATGAATCACACATACCCTTTCAAACTCTTTCTGATTCTCTTCAAATTTAGCAAATGCAACAGAAAGATGTTCATCCATATGTTCATCTCCAAAGAATTCAACAGCTCACGTGTCCACGTTCCATGCATACACAAAATAACCATGCATTCCTTCGAAGTGGGCATACTTGACTCAGGTCTTAACATTGGGGTGAACGAGGACAAATCATTTGTAGATGTGCAGGCCCGCTCTACCTCTTTGTACCTCAGCTCAAAGTTGATGTAGGAGTGCCAGGCCTGCTCCTCAGGCTGCCAGTCCATCCAGTGCTCAAACACCTGCCGGGTGCCAGCGATGTTCCCCAGCTCCATGTACGTGTACCTGTACCAGAACTGATACACTCGCAGGAGAGTTGTAACAAGCTCAGTCCCAGATGTTCCAGGCATGGTTAACCTGGCGATTCTTCATTTCCATTTCTGTATAGTTAAGCCACAGTGTAATATTTTGATAGTCCACATCTAAAGCACGCTCGTAGATGGACTGAGCTCTTTGAATCTCCTTTAGACCCTCTTCCCATTGTGCGTACTTTACCCACTTACTAACGACAGTCCTGGTTTCCCTTAGTTTATCTTCAGAAGTCTTCCTTTTATGCAGTTTGTGGAGGTGGCAGAAACCCAAGCTCCTTTTTCTTCCCCCTTCTCTCACAAGCTGCTCAGCAGATACCCAAACCTCAGCTGAGGCTTTGTTTTTACCTTGGGTATTTGTGGGAATCCACAGCTTTCTGGCTGCTGTGGAGGCCACCATGTCTGCAGCAGAGGGCCTCCCCATTCACTTAAATAAAAAATAATTTATTCTGTGTTATGTAATTGCCTCCCTTCTCCCCAGCCTCCCCAGTCCACTTTGCTATGCATCTCTTATTCTGAACTGTTGTCATGCAAATAATACCTAATCATATATTCCTTTTAAACAGTTCTTTCCTTCATCTGTTTCAATGCAGTGTTCATTGTTTAGCCCCTTTTCCTTTTTTCCCCCCAGCTCCCATGTCAGTCTTGTTTTATAACAGTGGCATCATACAGTGTTTGTCCTTTTATGACCAAGATATTTCACTTAGCATAATGTCTTTCCTCCACGGTCACCCATGTTGTGTAATATTTTATAAGTTCCTTGTTTTTCAGTGCTGTGTAGTATTCCATTATGTGAATATACCATCGTTTTCATTCATTTGTTGATGGACACTTGGGTTGCTTCCATCTTTTTGCTGTTGTGAATAATGAAGCAGTAAACATGGGTATGCATATATCTGTTTGGGTGGCAGCTCTGGTTTCCTTAGGGTATATTGCTAGTAGTGGGTCCAATGGTATTTCTAGTTCCAACTTTTTAAGAAAGTGCCATATACCGCCTTCCATAGTGGTTGCACTATTTTATTCTCCCACCAGCAGCGAATAAGGGTTCCAGTCTTTCCACACCTTTGCCAGGATTTGTTTTTTGCTGCCCTGTTGAACTTTGCTCTTGTTGCTGGGGTGAGAGAATATCTCATAGTTGTTTTGATTTGCATCTCTCTGATAATTAGGGATTTTGGACATTTCTTCATGAGTTTGTTTACCATCTGAATATCTTCTTTGGTGAAATGTCTGTTTATATTCTGGGCCTAATCTGTGATTGTGTTGTTTACCTTTTTCTTGTTGAGGTGCTGGAAGTATTCTCTACATTTTAGATGTGAACTCTTTATCAGATATGACATTACCAAATATTTTTTCCTAGTCTTTGACTTTCCTTTTTATCCTATTGGAGAAGATTTTTGATGTGCATAGGGATTTGATTCTTAGAAAGTCCCATTCATCTATTTCTTCTCTCCTTCTCGTTGTAGGTGAACTCTTTTTTCACCCCTTTATCCATCCAGTTATAAAACCCTGCTCTTGTGAATTCTTTCATATGCTCCTAATCCAGCCCTTCTTGAGTCTGCCTTCATTAAATGCCAGTTACCCATGAGACTGTTTTCCCCACTTAAAAGAACTATATCATCGAGTTGACTGTGACTCATATTGTTGTTAAGTGCCATTGAGTTGAGTACTACTCGTAGCAACCCTTATAAACAACAGGCCTGGACCCTGTCCTGTCTTGTGCCATCCTCATCATCTCTGACACTTTTGAGTCCATTGCTGTAGTATCCATGTCAATCCATCTCAATGAGAGTCTTTCTCTCTTTTGTTGTCTCCCTCACCTGTCCAAGCATGATTTCTCTTTTCCAAGGAATAGCCTATCTAAACATGTCTAAAGTATGTAAGACAAAATCTCTCCATCCTTGCAAGTAGGGACCATAGTTGTATCTTAACGTGTTTGCTTATAAGCTGTTTCAAACTGTAGACCCTATTTATGACATTGGGATGTAGAACATAATGCTTTTCTAACCATATTACATGTCAGTATGAACTACAGTATACACATCTGAGAACCTTTGGGTTAGTAGCACAGTTCTTTACCACTAAGCCCCCAGAGCTCCCTTATATAAGGCAAGAGAAAAAGAACAGATACATATTCAGAGACCATTACCCACTGACTTGGAAACCCCATGGAGTGGTGGAGTAGCTCTAGTCAGTCATGATTGGCTTGATGGCAGTGAGAGAGAATGGCTCATGATTGTGAGCATCTTTTCATATGTTCGTTGGTCTTTTGAATGTCATCTTTGCTGAAGTGTCTATTCTTGCCTTTTGCCCATTTTATTGTCTTTTTGTTGTTGAGGGTTTTTATTGGTATTTCGTTCACAGTCTTGTGTAAGCTGATTGGTCACCTGGTTTAGTTAACAATCAGCTGTGGGCTGGAAGCCTCTTATTTAAGTCAATTAGGACCTGGTGTGCAGGTGTTTGTATTTGAAAGTCAGTTGGGCCTGGTGTTAATAGTGTTTGAGAAGAACATTCTCCTAACGGAACAGCACTGGTCAGTCAGTTTGCTATACTAAGATAACTTAGAGTTGCTGTGACACTGAACACTGTGCCACTGGTATGTCAAATGCCATAATGGTTACCTATGGTGGACAGGGTTTGGTAAAGCTCCCAGATTAAAACAAGCTTGGAAGCAGGATTGGCATACACTTCTTAAACAACAGGCCTTTTGGAAACTTTATGAATATTAGAGTGACGATGATAGTTATAGAACAGGGTTCAGATCTTTTGTTCATCGGGTTGCTATGAGTCGTTTTCAGCTGTACAGCACTTAACAATTGTTTGAAAACATTTTTATATTTAATACATCAGAACGTTCCCCTTCATCATTAAATATTCTTATAGCCCTTACATTCTGGTATAACAGAGTTGCATTGGTCCTAATGAAACTTTTCTTTTATCACCCAACATGAAGTTTCTTTTCCAGCTGAAATTATTAATGATTTCTTACTGTGATGAGAGAATATTTGTTTCTCACAGTGAAGAAAATCATAAGTACTGGGCCTGAAGTTAAGACAAGAAGACCATTCATTATGAAGGAGACTAAATTATTCTGGTTTGGTTGTCATTTGTTTGATCTTTAAGATGTTGAGACTTCAGCCCTTGAAGCCCGGGCTCTCTGAAGACTCCTGTTATGCAATACTTTTTCTTTTGAATTATTTACTCTGCTCTTTAGAAATTATTATTTTGCTCTGGCAGGACTATGGCCGCCCAGGAAGCCACTCCAAGCAGCCAGGCAGAGGAGAGCAGCTCTTTGGACCTGCCATCAGCTTCTGACATAAGAAACTACGTGCTGCGGAAACCCAGCCAGGAGGTCAACAGCGAGGCATGGAGTTCTCTGGAAGCCTTTTCTTTTCCCAGCTCTTCTGATGTGGATCCAGGTAAGAAGCAGAGTTTAAAACAATCCAACAGGTCTGCAGGTCTCTGTTTCTTCTCTCTTTGCAAATAGCAGCTCTCTGAGGACTGGTTCATTGTCTAACGTTGAAAAACATCTTACCTCAGCAAATCTGTAGGGAGAGACTTCAAAGGGAAGCTCCCTGGTGTGGCAACCACCAGGGGTTGTTTCCTGGCGGCTTCTTTTGTCTTCAGTCCTCTTCTGATCTCCAGCCAAGTGCACTCAGCAGCGGGGCATACTTGATTCAACCAGTAGAAAGTGGAGCTCTTTGTTCATGGGGCTTGTCTCTTTCAAAACTCCAGCAGAAAATGTCAGTGTGAACCTGTTGTCCTTTTTAGGTAGTCATAATAGAGGCTTTAGCATTCCTTTTGTAAAATACCCTCTAGATTTAAGTAACTAGTCCATAAATTTCCCCGAGTGAATTGCCAAATCTGTTACTTAATCCTGAAGACAATCCCCTGGCCTAAGTGTGATCATTGGTTATGGATTGAATTGTGTGTCCCTCCAAAATATGTCTTGTAAATCCTAATCTCTATGCTTGTGGATAATGGACCTCAGGCAGCTTTCTTGTAAGAAGCTGTGCTGCAGTCCCGAAGACACAAGTTTCTAATCCATCATCTGCTCCATGGAAGAAAGATGGGCGATCTCCTTCCATGTGTTTAACTACCTCTGAAAACACTTGGCAAGGAGAGTACACAATAACAATATACTTACAGTCCCATTTGGGGATGGATTGTCTTTGTTATTCTAATGAGACAGGATTAGTTTTAGACACTCTCTTTTGAGATATAAAGAGATTAATCAAACTGATGTTGGAAGACCAAGACCTATGGAATTCTCTAAGGAACAAGGAAACAAGAGCCTCCTCCCTGTTCTCTTCATCCCCAAAACTGACAGAGGAAGCCATCCATAGGGTTATGGCCTGAGTTCATAATTCTTGCCACCAAACTATGCGAAAATAACTTTCTGTTTATCAAAGCTACCCTCTTATGATATTTATTTTATAGCAGCACTAGATAACTAAGGAAACTAGATAACTAATTCTTCTCTAGTTGCAAAACTCACCTCTAAACTGAATTCATTGGGAGCTCTGGTGGCTTAGTGGTAAGGAGTTAGACTGCTAACTCAAAAGCACTTGGTTCTAATCCACTAGCTGCTCTGAGGGAGAAAGATAGGCAATCTCTTCACGAGTGATTTACTGCCTCTGAAAACCTGCTGGAGGGTCAGCTATGGGTTGGTTCTAAATCAGCAGTACACAACAGCAATAGCATTACACATTCTTGTCCTGGAGGTGTTTAGACTGAGGCATGAGAATGTGGTATTAACCCTGCTGAACTCTAAAGTCATCAACTACAGCATGGTACTAAGCATGCTTCCCCACGGAGTTAGGATTAATTCTGTAAAGTCTTATTTAAAGTCTAATTAATTCTGGTATCTTCCAGATGTGAGTGCTCAGCCAATGTAGCCATTATTATTATTATTATTTCCAATACTAGTATTGTTTTTATTATTGTAAAACCCAAAAGATAACTTGTTGAATTTTAAGAAAGTATAGCGCTTAATGATGATGAAAGGAGCCTGGTGGTGCAACAGTGAAGCACTTCACTGTCAGAATTGTTGGTGGTTCCCAGTGACTTCATTGTTCTTGTCATCATTGCCCGCTGCCCTCAAGTTGATGCTGACTCATGGTGACTCTCTGTCAGGTTTCTGAGGCTGTACATCTTTTTTTTTAACTTTTGTGCGCGTGTACCGTCAAATCAGATCTGACTGGTACAGGAGGAGATTGTCCCTCCTTCCCCGGCAGAGCATCTGGTGGATTCGAACCGTGCACCTCTGGGATTGTAGTTGCAGCTCCTTGCCACTAGGCCACCAGAGCTTCCCTGAGGCTGTACATCTTTACACAAGGAGACTGGGCTCCATTTTTCTTCTCTGGTGGCTGGTAAATTTGAACTGCTGACCTTACAGTTAGTTGCCCAACACCAAACAGCTAAGAAAACCCTGTGAAGCGATTCTGCTCTGTCACACAGGGTCACGACGCGTTGAAATGTGTTTCACCGCACCTCACAGCAATAGCAGTGATAATTAATTCCGTGATAGTGAATGGTAGGGTATGTACCTGTCAGTGTCTTCAAGAGTCTGTGAAAAAGAATTCTCTTCAATTTTATTGTGATTTTGTTCTGATTTTCAGGCCATAGAGTAACCGAGCTCAGCATACCTCCTGACCACAGATTCCTTATCCCCTTCCTTTTGAGTGTTAATATCTTAGTTTATGGGGTTTTTTTTCTTCTTTTTGGTTGTTGTTGTGTGACGTTGAATCAGATCTGACTAGCAGGAGGAGATTGTCCCTCCTTCTCCATCGGAGCATCTGGTGGATTTGAACCATGTGCCTTTGGGATTGCAGTGCAGCTTCTCGCCACTAGACCACAAGAGCTACCTTTGAGTGTTAGTATCTTAGATACTTTAACTTCCCTTCTTCCTCCTGCTGCTCATACATTACTTTCCAGTCCCTAAAACTGATTTAGTTCAATGCCTCAGGAGATGAGCAGAATTTCCTGGGATATAGAAATGGATGTAGTTTCTCCACAATATCACCACCATTTGTTGTTTGCTGCTCTGTTGAATTTTACTATTCTTACTGGGGTGAGATAATATCTCATAGTTGTTTTGATTTGCATCTCTCTTAGAGCTAGGGATTTTGAACATTTCTTCATGTGTTTATTCACCATCTGAATATCTTCCTTGGTGAAGTGGCATTGAAACAGACAAGGAAGAGAACTGTATAAAAGGAATATATATATGAATGATTAGGTATTATTGGCATGACAAAGTCCAAAATAAGAATTGCATAGTAAAGTGGTCAGGGTGGGGGTGGGGACTGTGTAACAATGAAAGAATTTTTTTTTTTAAAATGAACTTGGAGTGGGGGCAGGGAGGAAAATGTGCAACAATGAATGAATGGAAATCCAAGTGCTGTATAAACTTTCATTAAAATCTCCATTTAAAAAAGAAAAGAAATGGATGCAGCTGACTACAGCTTTGGAATTGCCGCCCAGCTTCTTACCACTACAGCACCAGTTATTGTTTGAATAAAACTTTAGAGGTGTTGATCTGTTGTGATAATGGCTCCCTTCTTTTAGGGAATTCACTGTGGACTTGATTACCTCCCACACATGTAAGGTTTCCATGATTCCAAGTGGAATCTCCTAAATATCTTGTCTGAGAAGCAGCCTCTCCTAAGTATCTTTTTGTTTACTTGCCCTTTGTTCTAAGTCTTCTTTGTGTGTTCTCTTTATCTCTCCTTGCTTTTCTTGTGGAGGAGCCCAAGGACAGAGTCCTCAGCTCTTTTATCTGTTATCACTCATGGCCTGAGCAATCATATTCCGTTTCCTTGCCTTTAATACCCTCCATACCCTGATGAGCCCCAGATTCCCATTCTCCTTGTTCCTCTGCCTAACAGACCATTTGTGTACTTGACATCACCCCTTAGATTTCTATTCGATTTCCATCTTAAGTTCAGGCCAAAACAGCAAACTCACTACTGTCAATTCTGACTCATTACAACTCCGTGAGACAGTAGAACTGCCCCTTGTAGTTTTCTCTATGGAAGCAGATTATCAGATCTTTATCTCCTGAGCTTGAACTGCCAACCTTTAGAGTAGGGGAAGAGTGCTTAACCATTGTACCATCAGGCCTCCTCCTAGTTCCTCAGCCATCCTGTTAATCGGCACCATCCCCATGCCCCAAACACTTAAACACCTACCTGATTTTCAGGCTTGCTTATCTTGAAATCATTATTCTATTCACTTAGGCCAAAGGTGGAGAGTGATCTCCAACTTAACATTTGCTCTAAAACATCACTCTGTCAGCAAACCCTGTAAACTGCTTCAGAACAAACTTAGACTCTCACCAGTTTTGGGCACTGCAAAGCTCCTGTGGTCCACATCTTCTGTCTAATTCTTCTACATCTTCCCTTGTCTTTCTCCAATCTCTTCTCAACACAGCAGCCAGAGACATCTTTTTAAAATGAGGTCGCTTTAATCTTTGGTGCCAAACTCCATGAATATAGAGCAAATGCCCAAGACCTTATTGGTAGCTTCCTTATTGGTAACTTCCCAGGTCCTCTGTGCCCTGCCTCCTCTCTGAACTATATTGTTGTTAAGTTACCTAACAACATCAAGAAAACAAAATCTTCACCACTGGACCTACAGGTAATATCATGCTAGATGGTGAAAAGATTGAAGTTGTCAAAAATTCCCTTTTACTTGGATCTACAATTAATAACTATGGTAGTAACAGATAAGAAATCAAAAGATGTGTTTGTTGCATTGGGAAAAATCTACTGTTAAGGACTTCTCCAAAGTGCTAAAGAGCAGAGATACCCATTTAAAGACTAAGGTGTATCTGATCTAAGCCACAGTATTTTCACCTGTTTCCTCTATATCTGAAAGCTGGACAGTAAGTTTTCCTGAAGAAGAATTGATGCATTTAGCTTGCAATGTTGTCGAAGAGTATCCAGTATCCCACAGACACTCAAAAGAACAAGTTTGTTTTGGAGGAATTGCAACCAGAGTGCTGTTTAGGCAAGGATGGGTGAAGCTTTGTCTCAGATACTTTGGGGCATGTTTTCAGGAGGGACGATTCCTTGGGAAAAGACATGCAAGAAAAGGTAGAGGGTCATAGAAAGAGAAGAAGATCCTGAAAAAGATGGATTGGCACCGTGACTGTCACCATGGGCTTGGTTATGGTGGAGATTGTGAGGATGGTGTGGGATAGGGCAGGGTTCTGATCTGTTGCTCTTAGGATTTGTATCAAAAGAAAAAAAAACACAACAAACACCTCTAAGTGAAAATCAGGTCTGTATCAAGCATGAACTCAAGGTGGACGGTCCCTAAACTCAGGTCTGCCAGAGCCCTAATTGTGGAGCCTGGCTTACTCTGATCTGATCACCTTCGAACACATGTTCTCAAAATTGTGCAGGGTTTTTCC